TCAAATGGTTGCTAATGGTGCTTTTACTGAATTTAATTTGTTAAAAACTAGAAAAACAAGTGTTTCTGAAATTACCAGAGAAATCAGAGCTTTTTCCATTTTAATACTAACACCACCTCCATTAGATTACAAACGTCAAGAGTACCTTTACAAAAATATTCTTCCGTTTGTCAGAGATGAATTTAAAGATATCACTTGCCCAAAGCCAGTTTATGCTGATGAGTAAAAAAAATATATTATATAAAAATAGGTAATAATATAGAATTTTGCACTTTACACTATAAAATTATTATTAAAGAGTTCACTAAACTCTCTTTGGATAATTTTTATATGTCAACAACTACTCTCTATGAATTAATCAAACAAAAATCTCAAGAGTTAGGCAGACCCTTAAAAGTAATTTCTGACTGAGATGAAGTATTACAGCCATCAAAGCCTTTACTTGTTTACCAAATTTCTAAAAAAGAGTTGCCTTTTTCTGAATTCTTTAAGCATTTTTGAAGTAATGTTCAAATAGTATACAAGCTTCATGGCACTAAAATAAAACGCTATTCTTATGTAAGCAATAATCCTGAGGAATTGGATGACCAAAAGCTTAAAGAAAGCAAGGTAAAGATTTTTGGTTCTGATTTTTATTTGAAAGCTCCATTTCTTTCAATAGCAAAAGACTTGCTTTTGGCTTTAAAAGAAAACCTAATTAGTGAACTAAACTTAATTTCTTCTTATAAAAAGGGTGGTACTGGTCCTAAAAATAATCCAGGAAAAGAAAAAAAGTTTGCTAGAACCTTTGGTAAGTTCTCTTGTTCTAATCTTTTACTTAAAGAACTTAATATTAACTCTGAGGGGGAAGCAGTACCTTTTCGTCATGAAATGATAAAAGAGAAATGACCAGATTTTGACATATTTATTGATGACAATCCTACTATTATTGAAGAAAGCAGCAAGTTTTTTGCTAAAAGTCAACCAGAGAAAGTACTAGTTGTACCAAATTATAAAAGCACAGAATATCTCCAAGGTTCTAATATATATCATGTTAAGCAAGAAGTCAGTGACTTAAAAGATGAAGACTTTGTCAAAGCTGCCCAAAAATATAAAGCCAAAAAAGAGCAAGAGAAATTAACTCCTCACACTACCACTTCTTCTGCAGAGAGAAAGAGAAACAATATTTGAAAACAACCTGCTTTTTATTTAGCCTTTATTGGTGGAATAGGAATTATTTGTTTATGAATGGGAATTTATTGAGTGTTAAATAAAAAGAAGTCTTTAAGTAAGAAATAATTGGTGTAAAGCTCTATATTATTGCCTAAAAATAAATTTATGAATCAAAATAAAATTGACTCTCTTTATGAATTAATCAAACAAAAATTCCTAGAAAAAGGTCGTCCACTCAAAATTATTTCTGACTATGATGATTGCCTTCAGCCTCATAAACCCTACATTCTGTATAGGATAGAAGCACCAAACACCCCTTTTGAAGAATACTTCAATAATTTTTGAAATAAGGCTAAGTTTATAACAGGAGGTGATGCAAAAAGAAGAATGAATAATTATTCATATCTTTTTGATGATTTTGACAAAAATTTGGATTTCTCAGAAGAATTAAAGAAAAGATTTAATTTAGATGACAAAGAGTTTGAGAAAATCAGAAAAAATCGAGACTCTCATGAATTAATAAAACTTGTTAAAAAGATGGACCCTGATTTTTACAAGGACAGTCCTTTTATTTCGATTGCAGAAGATTTATTAAAGGCTTTAAAGGAAAGTTTAATAGAGAAATTAGTTATTGCTACTTCTCATTCTAAAGGCAGATATACTGAAAATGGTGATCCTCGAAAAATTGAAAAATTTCAAAAGACCTTTGGTTTATTCCCTAATTGCAAGTTGGAATGTATAGAGTTAGTAAAAGACAGTGAAGGAGAAGCAAGGCCCTTCTGATGAGACTGAGCCAAAGAAAAATACCCAGATTTTGACATTTTTATTGATGACAATCAGAAAGTGATAAAAAAGACTAAGGACAGATTGCCTAATATGACTTACTTACTGCCTAACTATAAGACTAATGAACAAGTAAAGGAAAGAAAATTGATAGAAGCCCTTGTCTCAAACCTCAAAGATGAAGACTTCACAAAAGCAGCTGAGGAATACAAAGAAAAGACTAAGACAAGCAACAATAAATGAATTGATGCTAAT